AATAAAAATTACGCAAGCATAAAACAAAATAAAACTCAAGTATCGCCAGCAAATCTTCACATGGTTCAGCGATTCACTGCAGAGCTAGTTTGCATCAGTTAATGGTGGATCTGATGAGGATGCTGTCTGCTGCAAAATATTGATTTTGAAGATGATGAAAATATTTCAAGATTAATGCATCGAAATGTTTAAATCCCCAATATGAGCCAGATGCTGAATGTAACTGTAAGTGATTATGGTGGCAAAGCTATCATCATTTTCAGTAGCTCAAAAAGCCCTCCCAAATTTCAACAGATAACAAAATATGTTTTATTATTATTATTTTGTAATTGTTATTACAATGTCAGGGCAGTTTAGAGGCTCTTCCGTGTTAGATATACATTCCGAGTTGCTAAAGGCTCCAATATGTACTAGTGGTTGTCGAAACATTCAAGGGTTAAACAACTCTTTTCTATACAATGTCAAGAATAATTATGAAAATTTAGGGGTGAACAGTCCCTTTTAGGGCACTTTGTGTGCTGCAAATGAATATATTATGTTGTTCAACTAGTGGAAAAGGACTTGAACATGGGGGACCATGGTTACGCCCGCCGACAGCCCCCTGTGGATTCAGAGGAGGATGGGGTTCAGAGGGCAGACGAGGAGCGACCTTGCTCTCTCTGCCAGCATTATAAAACCAGACTGGAGCAGCAACAGCAGCACACAGTCACACTACAGAGAGAGGTAATGTGTATTCTTAGAAATCATAATAGATTGTACATATTAGCGATTGAAAACACAGGTAACATTTTTCCTTTTCTTTGTTACACAGGCAGAGGAGATGAAGAAACGCCTTTACAAACTGAGTAAAATAGAGAAGGGGCTACAGGTGTTTCTGTTTGAGGATCAGATACGTGCCCTAACGTTAGCCAAGCGTTCTCGGAGGGCAGTGTGGTCCCATGGTACTTTACTGACAGCCCGTAAAATCCGCTGCGCAGTGGGGGTTAAAGGATACGAGTACCTAAGAGAACTGGGCTACCCTTTGCCTTCTTACAGGACGCTGTGTAATCGCCTGGAGCCCAAAATGATGGTGACCACAAGTATGCAGGATGAACTAGCAGAGCTCGGCCTGGGCATCATAACAGCTTGTGACAGTCCAGAGGGCAACGTGACGAGCGATGAAGGACTGATTGGAGTCATGACCTGAGACACTGTGTTTGTAAGAATCTGCACTAATGCTTGACTGTTAAACCAGCCGAAGGCGAAGCTACGGCAGGACTCACAGAGGATGTTTGTTTACTGGATTAAGTTATTTTGGGTTTTTGCATTTTAAAACCATTTGCATTAATACCACAACCGTCTAGAGTTGATTCACTGTTATCCGTTTTCTTTTCTTCAAGAAAGAAATGTTTTGGTCTTGCTGCATCTGGCTGTGTAGTCGATATCTCTTGATGCAAATATTGCACCTGTTACCCGATTTGAGAAAATTGAGGTAAACTGTTGGTGGAATAATTTCAGTTGTTCGCAGAATCATAAACTACTAAGAATGTGCCCTGAAAACCAAATATTATCACTCTAAACTTAATTTTTGCTACTGAGACCGAGAAGGTTTCGCTTGTTTCTATGAGAGGAAGTTGACAAAAGAGACTTGATAAATGGTCAAATTGACATGACGGTGTGGCTATGTGTAAAGTCACTATTTTAAAGTGGTATATTGGTAGTGGTGCTGTTTTAAAGTGGTGTAAATCTGGTGTATGAGTTTAGCAGCCAAAAAAAATAGCACATATTTATAGAGCCACCACACAAATGATTCATGCTGTTGCCAAACTGAGGGGGCTGTTCTGAATAATAAACTTCTGTCTGCAAACCAGAGTTTCTGGTTTCATTTTTTTTTTTCCTGTGTTCATGTTTGCCACCCCTGTCTGTGCAGTTTTATTTCAACAGCTCTTCGATGGATCCCTTGTCAACTATGTGTCTTAAAAAAAAAATGTTCTTACTCATCCACGTTGTTCAAAACCTGTAGGATTGACTTTTTTTTCCGTGGAACACAAAAGAATGTTGGTAACCAACAGTTTCAGTTGCCTTTAACATCCATTTTATGGACAAAAAAAACCCCACACATTTCTCAAAGCGTCTTCTTTTGTATTCCAGACAAGAAATTCAGAAAGATTTGAAACAACATGAGTAAATATTAACATAGTTTGCCCAAAAATGTAAATGATCTTTTTAAAATGGTGCTCCCCCTACAGACTGTATTTTTCTCTTTGAGCGTTTTACGGAAATGTTCACAAAACACGTTAATAGGGATATTTGAGGGACATTTAGGGTTAAAACAGTTTCATTAAATGAATGAAATGTGAAATGACAATACACTGGATGTTTAGTACTAGGTGGTACACTAAAAAATGACCGTGAATTTAACGGTAAAAGATTGTAAAAATGCTACAGCAAAAACCTGTTAAATGGTTAACGGTAAATTCCCCTACTATATACGGTGAAAAACTGTATTGGACATTACATGTATTGGACATTAATTTTACGGTAGTATACCGTTTTTGGAAGTGAAAAAGACTGTATAATTTACAGTGAATAACCGTAAATTGACATTCTCAGAATTCCCTGCGTTACATTTCAAATTTGATGTTTTTTTGTTTAAATAACTATGTTTATTCTTAGTTTTTTCTTGTCAGTTTTGTATATTAGGGTTGTCTGTTACACCTAATGTTGTTAAATGAATGTTTATTGCATTATTTCAGTTTCATGTGTTACCATGATGG